GCTGGAATGCCTGATCACCGCAGCCCCGCACCCTGGCAGCAAAGGCATCCCAGCCTCAGAGCCGTGGATGCGCACAGAGCCTCTCCCCTCCTTAACCTCTTCGATTCCGCCCCCCCGCCCCCCACTGCGATCTCCAGCTATCACACCTCACCCTTGCGAACTCCTCAGTTCCCCTCCGCACGCCCAGCTCCTGGGAACTTCTGGTGAGTTCTGTGAGTCTTATCTGAGGGTGGATATAGGAACTCCTAAATTTGTAGCCAATTGGTCAAAAGTCAGTGGCCCTGGCAACCTCTGAACTTGTAACTGATGGCTGAATTGAGGACAGTACCCTTAACCTTGATTTTGGCTAACTCTGAATAATACCTCTTTTTGCACTGACTTGTAATGTCATCTCAGTTAGATATCCATATCCAATATCCATATGTATAGATCAATTTCTGAGCTCACTTTTACAATTTGTAATATGTCTCTATCCCTGTACTTGATACTGCAATATATTAATTACTATTGATTTATAGTAAATCTTCTTTGTTATCAAGTAGAGCAAAACCCCCATCATATTTCTTTGTTAGAATTGCTTGAAATATTATTGGCAATTTGTCTCCTATGAGAATTTTAGGACTGGCTTGTCAGATTATAGAAACCCTGTTGAGATGCTTTTCAGTTACACAATAGATAATAATACTTAAGGTCCTTGCATATCATATTAAGAAGATTGGACTTTTTTTTTAAGGCCATAGAGTTACAAATGAATTTATTAACAGGATTTCCAGACTGAGTAAATATCTGTTACATTAGGTTATGTTATAATAAAACAAACCCTAAAATATCTGTGGCTTAAAACAACAAAGACATACTTCTCATTCATATTCCATGTGTGGGTCGCCTAGGACTTGTGCTCCACATCATCGATGTCATTACTCACAACCCAGGAATATGACTCCTACCTGGAATATTACTGGTTATAAGGGGAGAAGGAACCAGAACATAGAAGAGTACACACTGGCTCCTAAGGCTTCTACTGATAAGTGACAATCACTTCCCCTTTCACTTCATCAACCAAAGCAGATCATATGGTGATATGTAACTTCAAAAAACATGGAGAAATACAGTTCTTCCACGTATCCCAAAGGAGAAAGATCCATGAACATCCAATGTTAATGACTATCATAGCCCTTTACAAGGACTGAACTAATGGGAGTATGAAAAATGAAAATGACAGCAAGAATGGAAATACAGGGGCGCCTGGGTGGCTTAGTCGGTTGGGCATCTGCCTTAGGCTGAGGCCATGATCCCAGAGTCCTGGAATCGAGCTCACGTTGGGCTCCCTGCTCAGAGGGGAGTCTGCTTCTCCTTCTGTCCCTCCCCCTGCTCCTTCGCTCTCTCTCAAAAAATAAATAAATCTTAAAAAAAAGAATGGAGATAGAATTGTGCATATGACTGCAGGTCATAGAAACTTTATAGCATTTAAATCAGAAGGTCTGATAGATACTGGAAATGTGTAGTTACACTGACAAAACCAGGGAACTCATGACTAAATTGCTGGATTACAGAACAAGTCAGTGATTTGGGCAGTATTTTGCAACATCTTCTAAACCCGTGTACATTGGGGTAGACTCACACAGGTAAGCCAACCCATGTACGTTGGGGTAAGTCTCACACAGGTGAGTCAACCTGGATTTTCAGCTTAAGGGATAGAAGGTTAGTCAGTAATATCAAATGTATACCTTTGCCTTCTGTCTTATGGCAGTTTTTACATCTCTCTGGGACCATGTGTTCCTTGCTTTCATTTTTCATTAAAGAACTTGAGTCTTGGGGCATCTGGGTGTTCAGTTGAACGACCAGCTCTTGGTTTCAGCTCAGGTCATTATTTTGTGCATTGAGATCAAGCCCGCACTGGGCTCCAAGCTCTGTGGGGAGTCTACTTGAAGATTCTCTCCCTCTTCCCCTCCCTCCTCTCTAAAATGAACAAATAAATCTTGAAAAAAATACTTGAATCTTATAAAAAAACAAAATTCTTAATACCTGTGTACCTACTATCCAGCATCACTACATGCTTTCTGCTCATCAAGTTATTTTTGTGATTGAGGGATTATGAAGTAAACCAGTGATCCTTGGGCTTATATAATCTGATGCTCATTATGATAGGACAAGTCTTGATGTCAAAATACCAAGAGCACCTGAATCCACTCAATAACAAGGGTCCACAAGGCTATCAACAGATAAGCCCTCTACACATATTTCTTCAACATGCCAGATCTCCTGAAAGCCCACTGTGAATTTTAGGGTTGTTACCTGTTATGATAGGATGGGGAAGTGAACTTGGAGGGGCCTGTACCATGTAGTGAGAAGAAATCATGAAAAACTTAATTCTTTTTAACGTGGTCTTGACATGTTTTTCCACCAGCTCCATAAAGCTGATAGCACAAGGTGAAAAGAGATCGATTCCATAACCAAAGTAGTCTTTTCTCACTGTTATACTTTCCTTGCACCCCAGGCAAGCCATGGCTCGTAAGGAGGGAAGTGATGGGGTCAGGAATATGATCACTAGCTATCAGTCTCACATCATAGTGAAATAGAATTGAGTCACAAATAACAGATTACCAGTGAGTTTGTCAGTAAGAGGTAGTTTATGTAACCTTCAATTTCACAAGATCATGTAGATACTTTGAATATATTAATGAAAGTTTAGGTTTAGAATTAAAATTTAACCTGGAGAGAGTAGGCTTTACTAACCCTTGTTATCTGATAGCAGTTACTTCCCTGCAAATAGGGTTTGGCTGACGGTGGGCAAGGATGAGGAAAGATGAGTCGCATATTTCCCACCTTTGAGGTGGGGAGGTTCTTCCTCTATGGAGATGTCTTTTATTTTTTTTAAAGATTGTATTTTTAAGTAATCTCCACACCCAACATGGGGCTTGAACTTATAACCCCAAGATTGAGTTGCTTGCTCCACTGACTGAGCCAGTCAGGTGCCCCACAGAGATCCCTTTTACTCTTTTGAACATGGCAAGGGAAAGGTGGGAAGTACTTAACCCCTATAGGTACAGTGACTTTCTTGTTGGAAAGTGGTTTGGGGTGGGAGTTCGTGAGGGACAAGGTGTGTGAAAACTCCTGATTCACTAAAATGCTTTTGCTGCTCATAGGGAAGAATGTCTTCAAAAGAGCAGTGCTCTCATCAACTTCCCAGGCTTTACATTCAGGACAGTGGAGAGTTTCCAGTCATTCTTGAATGAATCCTTTGGAAATGCAGACAGTAAAACAGTAGTATTTATTTTGCTAACCATTACATCATATTGTAGGTGACATTTCATTATCATCCCTCACACCCCCAAGACTTGCAAAACTCCCATGTGTAAGACTATTGGTTCCTGGGTTTGGGATAGAAAGTCTGTCAATGTCCCTGGGATTAATTTTAGCCCTTCTTGTTTTTGTTTTTGTTTTCCCTCTCATGCTATGTTGTACTGCTGAATGTGGGGGTATACCAGCTAATCCACATTGCTTATTGAAAACATGGAGATGGATGATTTACCCCTCTTTCAAAGGCTGGTTTTGGCTATGTGACTAGTGAGTATAAAAGACCCGTGAGTAATCTTGGGCCTTGATTTCCGTGAAACTGAGATACTTCACATATATGTTGGTGGCTTGTGATTTGGAGACAAATGGTGTTCTGTGACTGAAAAAGGTCCCTGGAATCTGTACCTGCATGTTGCAGAACACCTTGTAGCTTTTGTCTTTATTGGAGTCTCATGTTAGTATAAGTCATGGAGTCGTGTTGAGTACATTCAACCACCTTAAACTGGGTACCTGCTATAGTTGCAATTTCCCCATTTTAATGTAAATCAATGTGCTTGAAAAGGAAACTTGCTTTTGTAAAATAAAAACCAAGCTCATCGTATCTTAGAGTTTAATCCCCACTTAAGAAAAATAATTTATGAGACTTTCCAGCTACATTCTAGAGAGGGATTCATAAAAACACCTCTAAAGTTTCATTTATGCTCTTTGAAAGGAAAGCATACCTTGTACAGTAACTGTGAACGATCAGTTGAGATAACTCACTACCTTCGGACCAGCCAATACCTTGTACAGTATAGGGGAAACAGAAGCCTACTTTATTTGACTATAGGAACAAGTTACATTGTCCAATCAAGGAGTGCCAGGACCAAAGCTAGTATTTAATTTCTGTCTTCTGATATCAAGGATGATCTCTCAAACTGTTTAGAACTCAAAAGGGTATAAAACTCATTATCTTTTTTTTTTTAAGATTTATTTATTTATTTGAGAGAGAGAGAGAGCACATGAGAGAGGGGAGGGTCAGAGGGAGAAGCAGACTCCCTGCCAAGCAGGGAACCTGATGCGAGACTCGATCCCGGGACTCCAGGATCATGACCTGAGCCGAAGGCAGTCGCTTAACCAACTGAGCCACCCAGGTGCCCTAAAACTCATTATCTTCAAACCTTAACTATCTGATCGGTTTAGAAGAAATAAAATTCTTTATTACAGATACTTCTACTGCATTTCCTCCAACCCAAGATACCTTTGTGTGATGCACCATTATTTTATGTACTAAGTTCTCCATTTAAATCTGTCAAGTCATCAACTGTGTGCTGCATTCTAATTTCATTGTTAATTATGTGGGGGGAAAAATTTTACCATGGAGTCGATGAAAAAACATTTTACTCAAGGAATGTTCAAAATCTTCCAGGCCCATTTACGAATACCAGGAAATGGATGGCAGGGGAGGAGATATTCAGTATTTTATTAAGATTTCTTACTAAAATAATGAACCACGTAGTTCAATTACAACTTATGTAGCAGTGTAATGATATAAAGATTCAATGCAGATTATTCTTTTTTTAAAAAGATTTTATTTATTTATTTATTTGACAGAGACAGCGAGAGAAGGAACAAAAGCAGGCGGAGTGGGAGAGGGAGAAGCAGGCTTCCCTCTGAGCAGGGAGCCCGATCAGGGGCTTGATCCCAGGACCCTGGGATCATGACCCGAGCCAAAGGCAGACGCTTAACGACTGAGCCACCCAGGTGCCCCTCAATGCAGATTATTCTATTGGCAAGTTTTGTGTACATTGAAGTACGTGTACTAGGGAGTCACAATTGCTATGCTAACACATGCAATTCCCAATTATGAACAATCATTTTAATAATAAAAATAGATGTAAAACACATATTCTCACATAGTTCTGATATAATATTTGCTTTGTTTTCTGCCAAGTGTATTTATTTACATACTTAAAATGTTCCATAATGCTGCTTATTATGTCACAATTACAGGAAATGACAACCCTCATAAAATGATACCCATGAAAGATGATACCTCAGATTCATTCAAGTATATAATTTTTTCATCAGTGTCAATTCTCTGATACCAGTGTAGCTGGATTTCGTGCCAACAATATCCTCACAATCAATACAGACACACACAGATGTTCCCTCCTACTCGTTCCCTTGGGCTACATTCAGTTGACATGTATGGAGGAAGGTATTTCCTCCTGTCTGGCATTCTACCCAGTACCATTCTCTTATAAGCAATGAGGTGTGAGTCTGGGGGAAAAAATGTGTCCACATCTGTAGTCTTAAGGTTTCACTCCTATGTAAACTCTGGTGTCATCCACTATTCACTTTCAATGACAACTTCTGAATATTTACTTCATTCATGATTTCTCTCCTCTATGAGTTTTCTGATGTAAAATGAGGCTGAATTTGTGAGAGAAAGTTTTCCAACACTCACTGCATCCATAAGGTTTCTCTCCTGTGTGAGTTCTTTGATGTATAATAAGATGTGACTTCTGGACGAAAGATTTCTGACATTCACTGCATTCATGGGGTTTTTCTCCTGTATGTGTCTTCTGATGCAAAACGAGGCTGAACTTGATAGGAAAAGTTTTCCCACATTCACTGCATCCATAGGGTTTCTCTCCTGTATGGATTCTCTGATGAATAATAAGGCTAAACTTGTGAGAGAAAGTTTTCCCACACTGGAGGCATTCATAAGGTTTCTCTCCCGAGTGAATTCTCTGATGAATAAGGAGATAGGACTTCCGGCTGAAGGCTTTGTGACATTCACTGCATTCATAAGGTTTCTCTCCAGTGTGAGACCTCTGATGAATAGTGAGGTGTGACTTCTGGGTGAAAGCTTTCTGACACTGATTGCATTCATAAGGTTTCTCACCCGTATGTGTTCTTTGGTGAAGGATGAGACTAAACTTGATGGAGAAGGTTTTTCCACATTCATTGCACCCATAGGGTTTCTCTCCTGTATGAGTTCTCCAGTGAGTATTGAGGAGTGACTTTACACTAAAGCCTTTTCCACATTCACTGCAATGATAGGGTTTCTCTCCTGTGTGCGTTCTCTGATGTCTGATAAGCTCAGATCTCTGAATGAAGGCTTTTCCACATTCACTGCATCCATAAGGTTTTTCCCCTGTATGAGTTTTTTGATGTAAAATGAGGCTAAACTTAAGGGGGAATGTTTTCCCACATTTATCGCAGCCATAGGGTTTCTCTCCCGTGTGAGATCTCCGATGAATAATGAGCTGTGACTTGTTGCTGAAGCTTTTCTCACACTCACCACATCTGTAGGGCTTCTCTCCTGTATGAGTTCTTTGATGTGAAGTGAGTTGTGACTTATCGCTGAAGCTTTTCTGACATATATGACATTCAAACCGTTTCTCTCCTGTGTGAGTTCTCTGATGTTTATTAAGGCATGACTTATCAGTAAAAGCTTTCCCACATTTATTGCATCCATAAGGTTTTACTCCTGTATGGGTTCTCTGGTGTAAAATGAGATGGGATTTCTGGCTGAAGGCTTTCTCACACCTACTGCAACCATAGGGTTTCTCTCCGATGTGTGTTTGCTGATGCTTACTGAGGTCTGACTTCTGGGAAAAGGCTCTCCCACAGTCACTGCAGTTATACTGTTTCTCTCCTGTTTGAGTTTTCCAATGTTCTATAAGCTGTGACTTATGGCTAGAAGCCTTGAAATGTTCATTATATTCATTGTATTCTTCTCCAGTATGAATTTCCTCACGTTTAGTATAAAGAAATAATTTGTCATATCCATTAAATTCAACTTTGTTTCTTGCATAGCTTTTATTCTGAATAATGTACTCTACATTAGGTTTCAAATGTTTCCCAAGTATGTCAAATGTATGGGATCTTTGTGCTAAAGGGACATCAAAGTTTAGGCTTAGACACAGTATTTTTCTAAATGCATTATTTTTCTGGTGACTCTCCATAGTTTCAAGGTTGCCTTGATTGTCTTGGTGCTCGTCTGTATGACAATCAACTTGCCAGGTGTCTTCTAGAAAGGAGACCAATGAGCCTCAATGACCATGAAATAGAAGGAATGGAATTCCATAGCAAAGGCCAAGCAGAGGAGAAGAAATGGGACTGGGTATACAGTGAAAGTCTGAGACATTTCTAAGTGGAAGGAGGGGGAAAATGGAATAAACTACAGAATGTGGAGACAAGAGACAATTTATGAATGCTGAGTATATTAGAAAAGAAGGCTATAACCATGCATTAAGGGGATGGAGATGAGAAGGCAGGCAAACTGAGGATGCCAGGGAGAAAAATTAGGAGAACAAGTTCCAAGATGAACTAGAGTGGGATCTGATCCAAATACATGAGAAGAAATGTATTCTTTTATTTTTATTTTTTGGAAAACTTTTTTTTTTTAAGTAGGCTCCACACTCAACATGGTGCTTGAACTCACAACCCTGAACACATTCTACCAAATGAGCCAGCCAGGCACCCCCAGAAATGTATTCTTTTAAAAACCAAGCAAAAGAATCCTAATATGGAGAGATTAAAAAGTGGAGTCAAGGGGCACCTTGGTGGCTCAGTCGGTTAACTGTCTGACTCTTGATCTCACCTCAGGTCTTGATCTCAGGGTCGTGAATTCAAGCCCTGTGTTGGGTTCCACCCTGGGCATGGAACCTACTTAAAAAAAAAAAAAAAAAAAAAGTGGAGTCAGTATTGATGTATGTGGGAACTTATGTCCCCCGTGCTGTCACATTCAGAGCTTAAAAACTTCCAAGATTTCTCCAAATAATAGGTGCCTCCCTGTTTCTGACCAAATAGGAATTTACTTCCATTTATGCCACAGGGTTGGTTTTTCACTCACCTGGATAAATCTGACTCTGGATTTCTTCCTCTGTTATCCATGGTGTTCCATGTTCCAACTGGTAGAAAGCATCTGCTTTGGTAATTTGATACCCTACTCAAGGAAAATTATAGCGGATCCATGGACACAAATACTTGGGCTAAAAGGCCTCTGAAAAGTGGGGAAGGTTATATTGAAAGGCCTGAACAACTTGGATCTTAGCCAAATAAAGGCCTTTTACTTTAGGATTGAAAGAAAAGCACTCTGTTAGAGGCCAGAAGGTACTAAAATCAATGATATATGAAACTCAAGTTCAAAAAGGTAAGGTGCTTTTAAGGCTCCACACATTTCATCACTGAGAAAGGAAAGGAAATTGATTGCCTACATTACCCTGAGAAAGCTCTGCTTACCCAGTGATACTAGGTTGCTATAATTTTCCAACATCACATCTTGATACAGGTTCTTCTGAATGGGGTCCAATAGCTGCCACTCCTCCCATGTGAAAACCACAGCCACATCCTTGAATGACAGTGACCCCTGAAATAGAACATTCCTATTCATTTCTAAAGGGATTATCATTGGTTAATACTATGAAGATAAGTATAATATAATACTTTTTCTTATGGTAAAGTCATCTGACTGCTTTCTGTATAACTAGCGTTGCATTATACTTAGTAGGAAAAACTAATTTTTTATTTAAAATATCCTGTCTTTGTGCTTCCAATCATTCATTGATGTACATGTTCACTCTCACAAAAGAGAAATAGGACATCCTGAAATCCTTTAATCTAGGAACCATCTACAATCTATGTGAAAGCACCTATAGTCAGATACTGCACTAGATACTCCTTATTTTATATAAGACCCTCTCCTACCCTGAAGGAGCATACTAGCTTGCAGAGAGAGGAATGTAAGTGCACAAGAGTATACATTTACATAGGGCGAGAAAGAAATATATACCATGTGGGCACCAATGGGGAGGAGAAAAATTACAAAGGTTGAACTTCAGGAGCAGAACTCCTCCTCAGAGAGGGGAGGAGAGAGGTGAATGGAATTCAAGAAAGAAGTAACATGAATGACAGCACAATGAAAAACCATGAGCATTTAAAACACTGCAAATACATTTCTTCCTAAGTTGTGAAATCAAATGACTGAATTTAGAGCAGGTAGAGCACACTATAAGCACTCAAAAAATTTTTCACTTATTTTTTTTGTTGCTTAAATGTTGACAGGTATAGACTTTCAAGGTACTGGGTTAAGTTTAGTATTAGCATTTAGTAAGTTACAGAAAAGTACATAAACTGTAACCTAAATTATGACAATGGATATTAGGTTCTGTGTGGTAAAGGGCTGACTCAGCAGGCCTGGTTTGCCCAAGCCCTGCACACTCCAAGGAAAGGCCGGTCTTCAGGAGAACCGGCCCTTGACTTGGTCATGGGAGATAAGCTCTGAGCCACTGTAATATCCAGCCCGCTACAGGTGTTTTCACATTCCTGAGGCCTAGGCTATGCTCTATCAGTTTGAATTTTGGGGGGCTGGAGACTGAGTAGCTGAGGTCAGCCATCTATGCTGAATGCCTGTGTTGACTGACTTCCAATAAATCCTAGATACCTAGGGGCACGTGAACTTCCCTGGATGGCAATACCTCCCACCTGTTGTAACATATCATTGCTGGGAGAATTAAATGACATTCAAGCCACTCCACTGGCGAGGACAACTGGAAGCTGGTGCCTGGTCTCTCCTGGACTCTACTCTGTGTCTTTTGCCTTTGTTGACTTTAGTCTGTATCTTTTCACTATAATAATTCATAACTATAAGAGCTTTGAGTCCTTTTGAGTTCTTTTAGAGAATCATTGAACCTGAGGGTGGGCCAAGGACCCCCAACTCAAATATATACAAATTCATAGTTACGTATGTAAATGCTGACAGGGGAAGTCAAAAGGATACACCTATGTTTTTATATAGTTTATCTTGAGGATGGTGAAAAAGGATTAATGGGGAACTTAAGTGTTTAGCTCTAGAAACTTCTGTACTATTTCAAACTTTGGCACTGAGAATATTTTAAGCTTTACTAATTAATTGGATTTTTAAAATTTATTTTTATTTTTTAATTTTTTTGGGGGAATATTTTTAAAATAGAAGAAATGGATTATGAACTGAGATTATGAAGGACACATTCTAAGACTTTGCTAATAGATATAACTTGGAAATGTTTGCTAATTAATATAAATTGGGGTTTCTCAACCTCAACCCTACTGACATTTTGGGCTGGAAAACTTTTTGTGGTGGAGGCCTGTATTGTGTGTTGTAGGATGTTTAGCAGCATCCCTGGCCTCTATTTACTAGATCCTATTAGCAGTTATGATAATTAAAAAATGTCTCTGGACATTGTCAAATGTCCCTTGGGCAGACAAAATCATCCCGAATTGAGAACCATTGATTTAAAGAAAAAACTAAATTGTGAGGGCTGTTTGTGGAAGACCAAATAATGGTCTTAGAATCCATCCATTTTTCTTGATGATCTAGATGTTATCCCTGGATAAAGTCAGACCTTCAGGAGCCGATGGACTTGAGCTACAGTTTTGGAACCCTGAAGCACTCTGCTCATTGAGTGTGGTTTTGATATAACACCACTGGCTTTTCTGAGGATGGCTGATAAAATACCACTTTATTGGTGGTTTGCTATAGAGGGAACTGAGCACTAAACAATCTCAGTAATGACCTATCAAAGACACTTCTTCCTACTTACATGACAGGAACGATCTACTTTTCTAGAGGAGTTTTCTCCTTAAGGCAAATCGCCAACGATTTTTTATTGCTGGCCATGTGGGAGATTATATTTCCCAAGGATTACCACAATAGTATGTCCCATTCCAAACCTTCTGCAATGTGACCTTGTCACTCTCCCATCAAGAGGTAGAGCCTCTTCCCCTTCCCTTGAATCTAGTTTGTCTTAGGGACTTCCTTGTAACAAAGACAATGCAGCAGAAGTGATGATGCATAACTTCTGCAGCTAAAGCAGAAAAGGCCATGCAGTTTCAGTCTGGTTCTCTTAGAATCTAGCATCATGCTGTTGAGAAGCCCAAACCACAAAGGGAGACCATGCATAAATACTCCAGTCAAGAGCCTCAGCTGTCTAGTTTTTGAGTCATGTCATCCTGGAAAACAGATAGAGAAATGAAAAAGCCTTCAGATGATTCCAGTCCCCAACCTTTGAGTCTTCCCAGCTGAGGTTTCAGACATCACCGTGTGGAGATAAACTGTGCAATGAAGGATGAACACGGCAATCTGGGTTGTCCACACCCTGCACATGCCAAAGAAAGGTTTGGGGCTTACCTGTTCATACGTAGGAAGTCCTAGAAATATCTTTACCTGAGAGCCTTGGGCTACACCAGATAATTCATACTATCAATGTTGTTTATGGTGGGAGACTTGGGCACCATGGCAGCTTGCCTTCTGAAAGGGCTGGAGACTAAAGTCAGCCATTCGTGTAGTCAGCATTGCCTATGTGTCCAACCCAAATAAAAACCCTGGAAATGAAGGCTTGAGTGAGCTTCCCTAACTAGCAGTATTCAAAATGTGCTGTTACAAGTCATTGCTGGGAAAATCCAACACTGTCTACGTGACTCCACTCAGAACAAGTGGAAGCTTCTGCCTGGTGTCTCCTGGTTCAGGCCTTATGTACCTTTTTGCTTTTGCTGTAATAAACTATAATTGGGAGTATAACAATGTTTCTGAGTACTCTGAGTTCTTCTAGCAAATCATCGAACCTGAGAGTGGTCTTGGGAACCTACAAACATGTAAGACACCACCATGGGCCCTTTCTTACTTCCTGACCCACTGAATCCATGAGAATGGATTAAAAATAAATGCATACCACCAGGTTTCAGGGTGACGATATGCAGCAATGGGTAAGTGGGACGGGGAATACGAAAGACAAGTTTGTAGCTCGATTTTATAAACTGTTTAGAACTTTCTGGGTTATAATCTATGTTCTAACTTAAAACAACTTGTATAGGGGCGCCTGGGTGGCTCAGTCGTTGGGCGTCTGCCTTCGGCTCAGGTCATGATCCCAGGGTCCTGGGATCGAGCCCCGCATCGGGCTCCCTGCTCCGCGGGAAGCCTGCTTCTCCCTCTCCCACTCCCTCTGCTTGTGTTCCCTCTCTCGCTGTCTCTCTCTGTCAAATAAATAAAAATCTTAAAAAAAAAAAAAAAAGACAAAACCTAGAAACTAGTTAAAAAAAAAAAAACTTGTATAATGGGGCGCCTGGGTGGCTGAGTCAGTTGGGCGTCTGCCTTTGGCTTGGGTCATGGTCTTGGGGTCCTGGCATTGAGCCCCACGGCAGGCTCCCTGCTCAGTGGAGAGCCTGCTTCTCCTTCTCCTCCCTGCTCGTGCTCTCTCTCGCTATCTCTGTGTCTCTCAAATAAATTCTTTAAAAAATAGTAATAATAATTTGTATAAACATACGATTTACATATTCTTGTAGCAACCTGGCTGTGAAGTTGATCCTTTAACTTTTTCCCAAATTCTGACATTTATCTCTTCATGCTATATCTGGTATAGAGTAGTCCTCATAAATACAAATAAACATATTCTTTTAATACATGTATTATTAAGCCTCCTCAAACCCACGGAAGGCCTAATGGAAAATAAATATTTAAATAAACTCACTTGGGACTTGGACATTTTCTGGAGCCCTTATATACCATCAGAAAGTCTAATATCTGCTCTGTTGTTGATTCTGGGCTCTATTCTGAAGCTCTAGTTCAAGGTCTCTGGTCAAGGATGCAGTGTTGATCTTCGTACCTTCACTTCCTTCCCTCATAGGAACTATTTTATCCCAGGAAGCCAGGACCTGGGGATTACAGAAATTGTGTGAGTCTAACAGATTTTTCTGAGTTGTTTGAGTCCTTATTTGTATGTATATATGTATTTTAGATATACACAAATATATATATATCTAAAATATATGGTTTCTTTAGGTGGTAGGTTAATATGATAGTCTAAAGAAAGAAAGAGGGGCGCCTGGGTGGCTCAGGTCATGATCCCAGGGTCCTGGGATCGAGCCCCGCATTGGGATCCCTGCTCTGTGGGGAGCCTGCTTCTCCCTCTCCCACTCCCCCTGCTTGTGTTCCCTCTCTCGCTGTGTCTCTCTCTGTCAAATAAATAAAATCTTAAAAAAAAAAAAGTAATATGTATTACCTGATGACTTATTTTTCAATAAACATAATTACTTTATTTTGTTATTTTTTTAAGATTTTATTTATTCATTTGAGACACAGAGATAGAGAGCATGAGCAGGGAAAACATAATTATTTTATAATAAAGAAATACAAACAAACCTGTCATCATTAAATTATGTAATTTTACCAAAACTGTACTCAAAACTAAATCTGCACTTAGAGAAAGACCATTACTAAGAAGTGGGGGGGGGGGGAAGTCCAGTGAGAAATTTTTAAAAACCTAAAAAATCTAGAGAAACAGGTATAAATACTGGAATACTGCTTGCTAACCTGTCTTGGGTATCTACTGTGTGATCTTTAACTGTATGAGTAGTTAGCACAGTTTATTTTTTGTTTTTGTTTAACAAATGGAAAAGAGTCTCAGAGAGGTTGAGAAACTTGCTCAAGTTCACATAGTAAAGTGGCAGAATATGGATAAAAACCTTAGGTCTGCCCAAATCCAAAGTCCATATTCTTTTCTCTGAGTTAAACTTACCTGCAGGTGTTCTAACTGCTTACCTGGAAAACCTACAAGAATCAATTAGTAATTACATCAGAAATAAGAGTTCAGTAAAGAAAGATTAAAAAAAAATAGCTGCTTTTATATGTACCAGAAAATAAAAAATAAAATAATCATTGGAGACCCTCAAAGATAAGAAACGAAGCTGCCCCAAGCACTGAACTCCCCAGAAGCCACCCCATTCACTGACCACCCCCAAAGATCATTCAATCACTGATCCCTCCCCCCCAAGTACATCCCAAACACCGACTTAAGCAAAGGACATCAAAAGCACTAAACTAGGGGCACCTGGGTGGCTCAGCCGGGTTAAGTGTCTGCCTTCGGCTGGCGTCATGATCCCTGGGTCCTGGGATCGAGCCCCGACTTGGGCTCTCCGCTCAGCCGAGGAACCTGCTTCTACTTCTCCCTGTGTGTGTGATCTCTCTCACTTTCGCTCTCAAATAAATAATAAAATCTTAAAAAAAAAAAAAGCACTAAAGTATCTACCACAGATGTCTCAGTCACTGAACCCCCACCCTCCCAACACCATGAATATTCCCACCATGGACAGTGGCATTCGTAAACCGTCCCAAGGACGTCCTGATGAGTGACGTGCTCCAAGGATTCTTCAGTCACTGACCTTTTTCCAAGGATGGTCCAATTGCTGACAGCCCCTCAAGGCCGTCCTAAGTACTAATCTTCCGCATAATTCCTTTTCAGGCACTGACACCCTCAAAGACACCCCCATTCCTGACTTCCTTCATGAACACCCTAAACACTGACCTCCCATCATTCATCCTCAATCAGTGACCTTACCTGAAAGACGCCCCAATCACTGACCTATCCCAAGGGCATCCAAATCACTGATCCACTGTCTAGGTAACGCCAATCACTGATTTGCCTCCAAGATCGCCCCAGTCACTGACCTCCCCTACAAAGCAATACCCCAAGCTCTAACACCTTTCTCCAGGCCACTCCAATCCCGGATCGTCCCCAGGCCTGCACCATTTCCTACTACCCCGCTCCCTCAAATCACAGAATGCATCTCCCACCCCACAACGGCTTGTTTCTCTCACGGACAACCCAAGCCTCCCCTACCATTAACTCCAAATCTCCACAAACCTCGCTCAACCTTATTCCGCTCCCAGAACGCGAAACTGAGACCCCTTAATAGAGCCTTCGCGCACCAGTTGGGAGGGTGGGAAGAGCCACGGCCCATCACTTCGGCTTCAGACGCGACTGTTCCACCTCACGAAGTCAAGTTTAACGTTTGTGGCATCCGAGTCTACAGGCTGCCAAACCACCACCCCGGGGGCGTCCTTCCACTGACGAAGATTCCGTTCAGCTTTCGGTCTTTTAGACAAAGACACTGTGAGAGAGTATGGCGACGCCCTCCTGGCCAATTTATGTGGGAGCCGCCATATTGGAAGACCGGTCGTACAACTCACTTTTCTGCCCGAGAGAATAGTACTAGTCCGCCTTACGTCAGTTGTGAGCGCCACAAAGGGCAATGCGCATGCTCCCGTCTCTATGGCTTCCGGAGGCGCACCAAGCCCAAAGGCCGTCGCCTCCGCTTTGCGGGCTGGTGCGTGCCAAGCGCAAAACTTTACAGCGGCGCGACCATCTTGAAAAAGGTGCACTTGTCCGTACAGGAAAGGGAGTTGTGCTTTAAGGGGTGGAAACCATTGGAGCAACCTTAGGGAATGCTTATAGAGGCCGGTATAGGGTTTCGAGAAGCCAAAGTAGTACGACAGAGGCAGTAGGCCTCACTGGGGGCACAGAGTAAACTACTAATTCAGTTTAAGGAAAAGATCTCTTCCTGCCAGGACTGGGGGTGGTGGTTAGGTGACATCTCCAGGGTGAAAGGTGAGAGGGCTCGTGCGTAAGTAGAGCTAGTAGTGAGGGAGGGGCTGTGCTCATCACCAAGGTAGAGGGTGGAGAAATGGGGGGGATAGAAGACTAGAAATTGTTGGTAGAAATTTCTTAAAAGGTTTTTATCCCAACTCAAACGTGTTCACATATAATTTCTAGTGAAGTAATTATTAAAATTGGAATTGAGTCAAAGGGAATGAAAAATATTTGTGGGGTAGATAATTCTAGATTGCTGTCCCAAACCGGTTCTATTGATGAATACATTTTACTGGCTGCTACCCTTCTTCAAAAACTGGATCCCGGGAAGAGGGTAGCTGGGTGGCGCAGTCGGTTAATCATCTCCTTTTCAGTTCAGGTCATGATCCCAGAGTCCTGGGATTGAGCCCCCGGGGCGAGGGCTCCCAGCTCAACGGGAAACCTGCTTTTCCCTCTCCCTCTGCCCACCCAACCGCCGCTTATACTCCCGTGCTTACTCTCACTCTGTCTCGAATAAATAAATAGAATCTTTTTTTTAAAAAGAACTTGATACTAAAACAAATAGCTAATTTATATTAAGTGTATACACATTTTTTGAACAGGGAACTATTTCAGGTGTAGTAATTACATTATCTTACTTAGCATTCTGAAAGCTGATGTGGAAATGTTGTCATTTGGAGCGAACAGCCAAGGAAGAATTCTGGAAACATCTTCAGTGTAAATAGGTGGTTTTATTAAAGCATGGGGACAGGACCTGTGGGCAGAAAGAGCTGCACTGGGATTGTGAGGAGCAATCGATTATATACACTCAATTTGGAGGAGGGTTAGGGATAGCATAAGTCTCTAAGGAATTTTGGAAGCAAGGTTTCTAGGACTTTGAGAGGGCTAGCTATTGTTAGGAAAAGGTCATTTATTACTGTCTAATAAAACCTTAATCATGATGATGTGGGAAACAAAGGCAGAAAAAAAATATTAAATTTCCTTACTACTTGCAGCCCTTTGGCAAGCCCTTGAGGTGGGCAGTTACATTCCTGTAGGGACTCAACTGCCTGGATGTTGACACTTTACTGAGGGCAAGAGGCAATCTTAGCCCGACCTCCAGGATCCTGTAAGTCTACTTTAACATATACAAATTCCTTTGGAACTTCCTTTGGAAACTTCCTTTGTCTCTATCCTCCCCCCCCCCCATGATACATGGTGGCAATCATCCCTGATGTATATCACCCACAGATAGACATCTGAAGAGTCTCACTGAGTAAGAGACAGGCGGGGGTAGGTAGGAAGAGATAGGGAGGGGGCTAGGTGATCAGACTCACAGGAATCCCAGAAATGCTGAGGTGTAATGAAACCAGATATAAGGGAACAAACCAGACCACCCTGCCCTGGGCGTCAGAGGTGGTGTCTTTTTATGATAGTCACATAGTGACCAACAAAGAATAACCAGACCCCAAAGAAAAAATAAGCCATTAAAGATGTTATCATCAATCCTCACTTAAACCAAGACATTACAAGAATGATAAGGCCACAAGTTCCCTGGTTAGTTCTAAATAAAAGACTGTTGGTGGAGGCCCATGTTGGCAACCCTGTCAGGACCCCTCTTACTCCTGAGAGCTTTTCCTGTATCCTTGCTTAATAAAGGATAATAAATAATAATTTATTAATTAATACAACTTAATAAAGTTTTAATAAATAAATAAACTTAATAATTAAATTAATAATACTTAATAAGTATTAATACTTTAATAAAACTTAATAAAATAAAATATAAATAATAAATTATAAATAAATTACTAATAGTATAATAGTAATAAATAAAATAAATAATAAAACTTAATAAAACTCTATCACTTTACTTACTCTCCTTTATTTGTGAGATTCATTCTTCAGCCCTTTGAGACAAGAACTTCACTCTCCTGCTTCAGTGACCCTTCAGATGTACATCAGTGGGCCACATGCTTGGTGGTTGATTGCTAATATATATCTTGGTGGGTGGAGATAAAGGAAGTTTCCAAAGGAATTTTTATAAGTTAAAGGAGACTTACAAGATCCTGGAGGTTGCGATAATGTTAAGCTAGGACTGCCTTTTGCCCTTAGCAAAATATTAACATTGAGGCAGTTGAGTTCCTAGAGGAAGGTCACTCTGCCTGTCTCAAAGACTTGTCAGTGGATGTAAGATTTAAGGAAATTTAATTTTTTTCTTTTGTCTTTGTTCCCCACCTCAAAAGCTATTGATGGTGTACCTAAATATTACCCTCACTTCACACATGGGGGGAAAAAAAGGCCAAGTCTATCAGAATGCCTATTTCCTCAAAATCTCATCAATCTTTTAATCTTTGCCCATCTTAAGAGTGAATAAAAATCTTATTTCAGGGGCACCTGGGTGGCACGGTTGGGCATCCAACTCTTGGTTTCATTCAGGTTGTGATCTCAGGGTTGGGAGATTGAGCCCTGTGTCAGGTCCCATGCTCACATGGAGTTTGTTTGAGACACTCTCTCCCTCTCC